TGGACCCTCCACGGGGCCAACCAATAGCTACTCCACGTATTCCTCCCTGCTCACAATCAACGCACGGTCAAATGCACACGGCCGGGACCAGCGGGGATGATGGCGACCGCATATACTCCGACGGTCAAGTTAGCTCCACGTGATCGGAACAGTAACAAGGTTGTGCAAAAGGGTGAGAAAGAGAATATATATTTACTTGTTATGAAGAGCTAAGTTGTAAGAGTTTCATTATTTTTGTCTCTTGCCAAATCTAGGGTATTTATAGGTGAGGAAAATCGTTGGATGTAGGACACGTGTATGCATCTGACGGTGTGAGGTGTCTGCTCATAGGCGTCAATCAGTCGCGTCTTTAGAGTGGGTGGGTAAGTACTTCTCCCGAGTTGAGTTGACATAAAGTTGCTACGTCACATCAACTAGGCTCTTGGAGACGTCAAATCAATTAAACATTGGGGGCAGAAAGAATCTTGACACAAATCTCTTTTTGAAATTGGCGGCGAATCCTCTGATAGAGAACCTCGGAATGTACTGCGCCTCGGTTTCAGGGGCGAGGACGCTTCGGTCGGTTCCGTAGATTGTCTATGTCTCGCAGTGCATTAATAGATCGACAACATTGGTGGTGGCGTCACTTCGGAACCACTTCGGATGGGTGTTGAACACTTTGTATAACGCGGTGGTAAACTTTTCGAAGTGGTTCAGATAAGGGCATAACATACGTCATTACTAAAAAGGAGTTATTAGTAGTGGTGTTTGATCATATCTCATTGGTTCGAAATCATAGTTTACACCGATCATGCATCTCTGAAAAATCTGCAAACAAAAGCCTAAAAAAATTAAATCAGACACAAAAATTTTAACTACAAAATCAAAGTATGTATAAACTTTATAAAAATCTAAACAAAGCGAAATTCAGAGGATGAGTCGTACATAAAAAAGAAGCCCTGTAAAATAAGTTCTAACTAAAAAGAATACAAAATGTATAAATTTCCGAGTTCAACATGAAAAAACATTCGTTTCTCTGAAAAACTGCAGGACAGAGAAACGCAATTCTCGATTTTAATATTGATTTAAACGATCTAAAAATAATTAGAGGACAGATGACGGATCAAAATAGGAGCGAGAAGATTCTGGAGAGCAGTTGCTAGGGTTCACTTTAAGCAAGCATAGAAATTATGAAGCCAACACAAAACTAAAAACAATAAGTAAAACAATGCTGTTTAGATAATCAAGGGACACATCTTTTTGATTTGAAACAACATCATTTTTTGAACATTTGTAAAACATAGGTCTGGAAGTTGTGTGGGTCAATCCGAGTATTTCTAATTTTCAATACTTGAAAACCATCTATTATACTTTGGGTATTTCGTAAATGGAACCATTCGGATCCTTGTAATTATTGGAACCAATCCCAAACCCGAACTATTGATTTTGGCTCGAGTTTGGTTATACCCATAGCATATTTAGTTATATAATTAATAAACATTTTCTTATAAGTTCTTTTAGTACATATATGTAACACGCTACTACTTGACCAAGAACCAAGAATTGGACCGAACCCAGTCGGTTATTGGTTCTCGATTCCAGTTCTCAATTTTTTTTTTTTTTTTTTTTTTTTTTTGAGAACCAGATTGGAACTTTAGGTTCTTGTTCAATTTTGGTTCAGGAGGTTCAATTTTGATTGAAATGCTCAGGCCTAGTACGACGTCGTTTGAAGGACAAAAAATGAAAGGTCGATGCAAGGACATGTTGACACATGATTAGACGTACAATACATTGCCTTTTTTATTAAAAAATTAAGCATGTTCGTATTTTATATGCTATTGGCTTGTTTGAGCCCCATTATATTCTAATAATGTATTTTGGAGCGGTAGATTAATGAAGAATGTATGGTTAAAATAAATTTGGATTTGTGTATAATATTAATTTATTGAAAAATGTATGGTTGAAAAGAATAAAAAGAAAAATGTACTTTGAAAATAATGAAAATAAAAAGTACTAGATTTTAACATGACAAATAAAGCCATTGTTTCGAAATATATTAAAGCATAAATAAATTAGGAAACCATGTCTAATATTGTAAAATCATAATGATTATATTGACATTTACTTATCGTCTATCATTGACACCATCGGATGGAATTTTTGATAGAATTTCTATTTCCTTGTTGAAGAAGTGTGGTTCAAGGCTTTGACATCTTAGCATATCACTTTATTTGTTGAAATTCTCTCATTGCTTTAATGAAGCGAAAGTTGCAAATAAATGTATGGTCAACGTAAGTCAACGACAAAGTGTGGTTTATCCATGTGAATCGCACATGGAAGTCTGTCATTCAGCTTTATTGCTATTGGTGTTGCTAGTGGGCCATATGATTGATTTTGTTCCTCTTAAAATTCCTTGTTTTGGCTACATTATTTGAAAAAAAATATATTTTTAAACAATGATTTGACATCATTTCAACCACACATTTTTCAATATTACACTCAAATTCAAAGCTTCTCCTTATTTTTTAACCTAGACATTCTATATCAATCTGATATTTCAAAATACATAGGAAAGATGTTATAATAGATTAGATGATATGCTAGGCTATAGGACTAAGAGCGACAACTGCAACCTATATATTCGATTCGTTTAAAATAATGTGGCTCAAACACATAGAGAATATTTTAAGACAATAAAAAGTGGGAAACATATCAAAATAAAATACATGGACCATGATTTCCATTCACTATATCCTTTATGTATTAATATGTTATCAAATTAGTGATTTTCAGCCCCATTTGTTTCCCATTTTTTAGTAAGAATACATTTTGAAATAATTAATTGATGAAGAATGTGTAGTTAAGAAATAAGAAAAAGTTTTATTTTTGCGTATAATATTATTTTATTGAAGAATATATAATTGAAAACAAGAGAGAAAAAATGTATTTTGAGAAATATGGGTATCAAAGAAGGGCTCAATATTATCCAAATAGGGTCCTCAGCTGGCCTAGCTAGTGAACTTTCTTTTAGAGTGGGACGGAGAGGTCGGACCTTATAGGATTAGATTGATCCTAAGTTAAGTGGCATTCGAATTTTGAATGTCATCTTAAGAAAAAGATTTTGTTCATTAGTCGAGACCTCTCAAAGGTGATCCTTAATTTAGTCTTAAATCTCAAGATCGAGAACTCAACTTAATGATCGGAGAGCTCAGTAATTAATGAAGGCTACAAACCTAAAGAATTTATGTAAGGAATTAAAACAAGAGAGAATGGCTCGAGTAGGAATTCAGTTAAGTTTCCAAAGTAAATTCGCTCGGTTTTCCGTTTGTGTTACTCACTCAGATGAAGTAATTGATTATCTTTTTGACTTCAAAAATAAGAATAAATGCAGTAAAAAAAAAAAAAAAAAATAGCTAAGAATGGATGCAAATTTATAAATAGTTTATATTAAGCACACATTTATAACTACAACTTATTATTATCCATATATTTCGTGATATTGTATTATTACTCGTTTTTATAAACTATATAATTTTATCAAACTGAGTTCAAAATTTATAGCTAGAGTCAAAATCAAGATATTCTTTGTCGATATTATTATTCTCCACATTCATTACTAAAGTCAAAAGGCCTTTAATTCTTCATGATCCAGTAGATTTAGCCTAAGTTTGATAAATTTATGAATGATTTATAAAGAATAATAATAATGGATTATAGGATGCTGATAATAATGAGTTGCAATTATATACGAGTGTTTTAAATTAATGTTTGATTTTGACTAAGTCCCTGTTAAGATTAAAATTAGATTTTTAGTATATTTTTATAAAAGTTCCTAAAATGATTGGTTAAAAAGTTATGTATCTCATAAAATATGTGATTAAAATTAATTATTGATCAATTATTAACTTTGACTTTGATAAAAATCTATATTATAATTTCTATCGAACATGGGCAAAATTTATAAACCATCAAGAGGACCTACGATCAAGATGAACAAATTCTTGGATAATGACTGGATAACGAGAATATGCCCATTGGCCATTGACAGTGATACAACTTTACAAGGTGATCCAAACTGGTGAAAAATTAATCTTCATTGGCCAAGTACTCTATAAATAGATGCCTACAAGGTTTCATTTGGCATCGGTGAGACATTCAAGTGGAAGAAGAAGAAGAAGGGAGGTCTTACATGAAGATAAAGAGTCTTATTTGGTAGCCAAGGATGGCTTGCCTACATCCTTACGAGAAGATCCTAGAATTATGATTTTGGGGTTTGTATGCAAGTCACCTTGGCTAGTTGATCGGCTCTTATCGCTCATGTTGGATCTTCTCTTCTTGGATTCACCTTCTCAAACTGCTGCCAGCATGTAGTAGCATATCAGCATATGCATGCATAAAAAATCGTCTCATTACTGTAAGTTTCATAGAATTAAATGCATTTTATTCAATGAATATATTTATGTTCATACTTCTTATATGTTCCAAGTATAATGGGAATGACTTTCTTACAAAATCTGAAACATTCTAGATTCAGTTTTTCAGAGGCAAAACTGCCCAAGAATTCATGAGGACGATCGATCAGAGTGATTCCTGAATATCCAGTTATTTCAAGATATTTGTAGATGCCCATCAACTCATGCACTACCCAAGTCTGTGTTGTATTTTGCTTCAAGTTCAATTTCTACTCAATTTGATGCCCGTTAATTTCTTATTTACGGTTTTTATTTATTTATTTTTGTTAATGTTTCTATTTTTGACTGTCATTAATTTTCTGCAGAATATCTGACTGGAACTTTTTGCAGATAACAAGAACGTTGCTAGGTTTGATAGTGTAAACTTTATTGTTCATATATATATATATATATATAATTTATAGAATTGTATACTGAATATACTCTTGTTTTTAGTATCAAATACATCCTTAACTTGCATTGGTAATTAAAATTGTGATATTGTATTTGTCAAAATAAAATGTTAAGAAAGAATCGTAATTCATAAAAAGAAAAATTGGATCATTGGGAGCAAAAAATTGCATAACTTTTTTGCAAAAAGGAAATAATGGATCGAGTTTTTCATGAAAAAGGATATCGTTGATCAAGTTCTTCGTGAAGATGCAAGGAACAAATAAATTTAAGAGTATAAATTCAGAAAAAACTGTGATTACTGATAGTGAGTAATATATAAAGGCATTAAAAATTGGTCATATATGGAGGAAATCAATTCAACTAGCTTGTCATGCTACCGAAACAAATTAAGGATACCAGTTACTTATCAAAACCATTGAAGAAGTATCTGAGCAGATTTATGGCATAAAATATTGAAACAAAGACTCATATTGATTCTTTTCGGAAGAAATTAAATATTTGTAATGAGGAGAGTTATCAATTTGTACTGTTGGATCCCAATGTTTCAATCAAAAAAGGATGGGAGAATGATAAGAAATATAAAGAAAACAATCACGTTGGTTCAAGAAGGTTTAAATCAAGTATTGAGTTGTCAAAAAAATTTAAAAACATCAATCAGCATTGTGCAAAGGATTAGGCCATGACAAGAGGATATGTCACAAGAACAGCTACGGGGTCCAGGTTAGTTGATCTATTAAGAAGGTGAAAGAGCTTCCCTGGGCTTACAGCTCTTGAAGTGAGTCTGCTTTCTCCTTTATAACCCTTAATGCCTTCTAACGCATTCTACTAATCTTCGACCACCCTTCCCCTTTTATCCGGAGCTGCCGTAACTTGGGCTCATCATGCTATACTCGCGGGGAAGGAAAAACGAGCAGTTTACGCTTTAGTAGCTACCGTTTTACTGGCTCTAGTATTCACTGGCTTTCAAGGAATGGAACCCAAGAAAAGTGGAAATGAGCTAATCATTTCCAAACAATTATAACATGTAAGCATATTTTGTTTTTCTTATTTCACTTGTAAGTCAATTTTCATTAATAAGATTTTGTTAGCTTACTATCAATTTACATTCTTTTTTTCATGTAGGATTCAAATTTGGACTTACCTGCCACTCTCAATTTGGCCAATCTTGTTTATAGTAGTTCGTGGTATAAATTTACATCAGCAGTCTTCAACTCTCAACATAATTTACCTGCTTGATTTGTCTATGTAAATCAAGAAAGAAATGTTTATTTTCTGTCTCTTTATATTTATCTTTCTTAGCTGTGTTTTGGATAGCAATTTAGCAAACCTTTTGGTTTAATTGTAGCAACGATAATATTATTATATGTGAATTCTGTCGATTGTTTTCTATGTTCACTTTTTGCTCTATGGTACCTTATGTGGCCTATGTTGCTCTTTTATATTCACTTTTTCGAATATAGAATATGTAGGATAGTTTAATTTAATTGTCTTAGCAACTGCTTCTAACCGAGTGGGTCATGCAACAGTCAACAATGAGAAATATGAATATATAATTCCAAATGAACAGCATATTTTATAGACGATTGCTTCTTTTGCTGTTTTCTTTTCTGAATTTTAAACCTTTAACAATCCACTTGTATTCAAAGACCAGCATTTGTCACACAACTAGAGTAAGCCATTAATGCTTGTAGCTCCAATCTCTTGAGTTTACCTTCTGAATTATGTCATTTTTAGTCATGAACAATGATAAGTGTATTTTATACATTTATTTGGACTTTGAAATATAGATATGTATAGTTCTTTTGAATAGTTATAGCCTAACTTATTGTATATTTTGTTTATCAGGTGAAATTCGATAAAAAAAAAGAAAAAAAGAAAAAAAAAAGAAAGTGAAATTAAAAGAAAGAAGCGAAAATTCACGAAAAAGAACAAGATTCAAAGTTTGGGGACTAAAGTGTACATACTCAAAAGTTGTGTCGAACCTTATACAATGAAGATTAGCGAATGCTAGGGGGTCAATTACAAGTAAAAAAGAGTGAAATATGATCAAAATATGTAAACAAATCAATTCTCAGCCGCATGAGTATTCCAGATTTCTAGTCAAAGATTGAAACCCATATTTGGCATAGTAAATGTTTGAATTAGAAAAAGCTATCTCTATCAAACTTATAGTCCTTTGAGTTATCTTTTCAATGCATTTTGAATTACCTTAATCAGGTATTGAAAGAAAAAATTTATTACAAAAATACTAAAGAAGGTTTAGAGTGGGAACAACAGGTTGTGACAAGGCGCCTAGGTTTCGCTCGTGCCAAATAGGGTTTTCAACTATAATTTATAATTCATCTTTTTAAAAGCCCAATTCAACTAAAGTTCTTCGAAGGCAAAAAGAAGACATAAATACAACTCTAGAGAACACCATTTGGAGGGGGAGGGGGGAGATATAATCATCGAGACTAAAGAGCAAAAGCTAAGGTTTGAAGACTTTTGATATTGAAGAAGATTCTTATTGCAAGATCCAACTCTTTTCATGATCAAGATTTAAAAATTTGGTTATGAACTCTATACTTTATGTTTTTCTTTCATTATTATGAGAAACTAAATTCATAGCTAGAACGAACAATGTAATCTATGTGTAGTCCTTTATTTTTTTAACTTGAGATTCTAGTTTTTTAAATGCATACTTGTTGATTTTATTCATAAGAATTTAATGCTTTGAACTATTTGATCACTAATTCAATTATTTTATGAATTTATTATGTATCGAAAGGTGAATATTAAATTTAGGCCACATATTAAAATTCGATAATTTAGTATAACGTGTAGAGATACCTACACTAATTATTGCAGTCAACAGATGAATTCTTCGATCAAATAGTTTGTTTAACTCCTCTATAAGAACTCGAGATAGATAAATTGAATACTTTAAAAGAATTTGACCAAACACTACAATGTAATGAATCTTGATTGATGAATTGAAAGGGATCCACAGGTAAAATTGTAAGTTATAGCATCCGCATTCATACTTTCAAAACCCAAATTCAATAAATTGTGTATGTTAGATAATCTAATTCAGTTAGAATAAGATAGACACCAATCACAAACCTTATTATTGTTTTCGATCAATTGAAAGATATGAATAATTTAACCAATTGTTAAATAGTAGTCTTGTGGGAACGATATCCAAACTCATTGATCTGCTATATTACTTGTTATGATTTGTATACTTGCGAGATATAAAAATCAAATGAAAGTTAGTTTAATTATTTCTTGCTTTTATTTGACTTTTTTCTTGTCCTTTCTCTTTTTCAATTGATCTATTTGTTTGTTATTGCTCTATTGACGGGAATGAAAAAGAAGCAAGAGATCAAAAATCACAATGATTGATCTTGACTAAAATGAAGGTGACATGCTCTTTGAAGAATTCTTCTTCAAACAAAAACTTCAAAATTGGGATACAATCAACCTATTTTATTTGATAAGGATGGTTTTTTGAAAGGATTAAATATCAAATCTGTTGTTTATGTAAAGATTAGATTGACTTGTGAATATTGTAGTGTAGTGCATTATACTAAAAATTGCTCGTTATTTAAAACTCTAGAAGAAGTAAGAAAACCTATCTTCGAGGGTCCATATGAAGAACAAGATGATGACTGTAAAATAATTATGGGAGACATCATCATGCAAAAATTTAAAAGGATTGAAGATAAAGTAATTTTAGATAAGCCAAATAATATGCCAATCAAGGATCTCTTAATTTTTCAACCTAAGGAACCAACTAAAGAAGAAGAACATGTAAAAACAGATAAATTAATTATGAAGGAGCCAAATGGCATTCAAAGATGTGATTAGCATGCGATCCTCGAACTTCATTGATTTTGTGATTAAAGTCGATGAGAAAATTAAAGCATTCATAGTTGAGTTCAAATTAGCCAATTTTGGGAACTCATACCATATTCAAAAGGGGAAAGTACGAGTTTGAAGGACTTGTGAAATATGGAAAAAGTCAAATTGAATGAGCTAAGCAAGTCTTCCAAAACCATATTCAAAGTGCCACCAGATTGTGAACTCTCTACATTTTGTTTTTCTTTCAATATTATGAGTAACTAAATTCATAGTTAGGGCGAACAATGTAATTTATGTGTGATCCTTTATTTTTTGTTCAAGATTTTAGTTCTTTAAATGCATATTTGTTGATTTTATTCAGTAATTTAATATAACGTGTAGAGATACCTTCACAAATTATTGCGATTATTAGATGAATTTTTAGAACTAATATTTCATTTAACTAAGATTGATTCTTATAGAGATATGAAATTATATTAGTTAAATAGACTCAATAACAATTTGAGAAGGGTAAATTGAATACTTTATATGAATTCGACCCAAAACCACAATAGTAATGAATCTCGATGGCAAATTAAAGGGGATTCATAAGTAAAATTGTAGGTCCTAGCATCCATATTCATATTTTTAAAACTCAAATTCGATAAACTGTGTACGTTTGATAATTCAGTTTAGTTAGAAAAATATAGACTCCAATCACAAACCTTATTATTTGTTTTCAATCAAATTAAAGTTAAGAATAATTTAATCAATTTTTAAATAGTAGTCCTCGTAGAAAAGGTATTTGGACACATTGGTTCACATATTACTTGTTACGATCTTTACACTTATAGAATACAAAAATTGACAACAAACAATGATCAAATAATCTTGACTAATTTTGATAAGCAAAAAAAAAATCCTGTAGAGTAGGGATCCGATATCAAAATCGTCTTCTTTCACACACTCATGGGTCTTCAAGGGTGCGAAGGGCTGAATGCTGAAATGTTCACATTTTGATTCAGCAAAAAACATTAGTCATGCAAAAAGAACATAATCGATGTAAAGTTATGGGTAGTCGTAAATGTAGAAAAACTGAGGGAATAAAGGCCAGAGAAAACATGTTCTAGTCCCAAACAAATCTTGTGTTCATTCATTTCATGCATCTTAATTTGCCCTTGTAAACTCCAGTAGCTGGGACCAAGTGCTCGGAAATATTGCTTTTTATGGTGCTCATGAATCCAAAAATTCAAGAAGGAAAAAAAATGTCAAAAGTGAGCTATAAAATTACAAATGAACAGAAAAAATAATCTTTCTATGATTCTTCACAAATAATGACTGTCAGCAAAAAATTAAAATCCATAAATGAAAAATTAACAAATCAAAATATGATTGATTTGGTTACTCATAGATTATAATATTTTGAGAGAATGAAAAGAGGGAAACATATCAAAATAGATGCTATAATATCAATTTATTGTATCAATATATCATTCATTTACTATAAAACAAAATGTACGCTATGTTATGAAGTAAAAGTAATAGAATGAAAAGAGAAGAAAATTTAAAAATCAAAAATCAATTGTATATTTTATTGAGAATCAAGACTCATATTTATAGGATTCAGAATGAGAATTATCATTGGAATGAATTAAACTCTTTGAACTAGATAAAACTTATCTGTGCATGATAATAAAACTGCATAATCATCAATATTTATCTTATAATTTTACAACACCCCCTGGGATGATTATTTGAACAATAATTGGCTCATTAAGAACTTTGTTTGATAAAAATCCAATGGGGAAAAAATCAAAAAAGGAAAAAAATAAACTTAATTGTTAACATTTTAGAGTATAGATAAAATCATTTCTCTTCAAAACCTTGTCAGGAAAATTTAGTGGGACGAAAGCTAGACTAAGGAAAAAGAGTACAACTACTTCTCTTGATGAAAATTATTGAAAATCTTTTAGTCGACGCATTTGAATCCTATTTACCAATTTATTGAATGTGGATGTCGGTATTGCTTTCATTAATAAATCAACCATATTTGTCAATTGACTGAATTTGTTGAACATCGATATCACCATTCTTTTGAAAATCATGTATGTGGAAAAATTTTGGAGAAATATGCTTCAGCTTGTCACTTTTGATGTAGCCTCTTTTGAGTTATGCAATATATACTGCATTATCTTTATACAAAATTATTGGACTATTTCTTATTAAATTTTTTATCTATATGATACTTGGATATGATGAGTCATATTCCTCAACCATACACATTGTGGTCCTTTAAAGGTTGCAATAATTATAGAATAATTTGAAGATGTTGCTTTCAAGGTTGGCTTCATAGATTTCTATAATATAGTTGTTCATCCACGTGTAAACACATATTCTGTTTGTGATTTAGCTTTATGTCGATCAATGAGATAACATGCATGTCCATATCCTACCAAAGCAAATCCCAACTTTTTGAGAATAAAATAAATTCAAATCATTAGTACATTTTACGTAACGAAAAATGAATTTGATACCATATTAATGTTTTTGCGTTGGTGTAGAGCTATATCTTG